TACCACCTTGGTGTGACCAGGGATGGGAGGCTGGCACAGCCTGGGGATGCCCTGAGCTGAGCCCAGTGGCTGGCAGGGATGAGCACCCCGCGGTGTGCCCCGGTGCGCCCAGTCGCTGGCAGGGCTGAGCACCCCATGGTGCACTGGCCGCCGCGCCACCTGGCACCCCCACACCCACCTGCAGGATGACCCAGTGCCCCTGTGTGGCCGCCAGCTCCAGGGCCTCTTCTGCCACGACCTCCTGGCCCTGCCCCAGCGACACGTTGTGGATCTTCCCGTTGTTGATGGTGAAGCTCAGCGTTTGTCCTGGGGACGGGAGGAAACCGCCGCGGTGTGACGCCGCTTTTGTTCGCGTTCGTACAGAACGGGGCTGCGCAGCTCCGGCCCTTCGCGGCTCAAACCAGCAGCCGCCCCGCAGCGCGCAGCCCTCGCGCGCTGGTGCTGGCCGGGGACGGCGCCACGGCTCACCCAGGGCCTCCACATCTTTGAGCGGGTCGACGCCGGGGGAGAGAATGAAGAAGAGGGGCGTGGAGGGGCTGCTCTCCTGGTACGCCTCGGCGAGCTCAACGCTCCTTCTTTCCACAAACTTGCTCCCCATCTTCTCTTCCACAAAGTTCCTATGGGAGAATAAAACCCCGATGCGCGTTAGGAACAAACACGGTCAGTGGGTGCGCCCGGTGCAGTGGTGCCGCAGGGCTTATGCCAGGAGAGCGCCGTGCCACGGGCACCGCCGCACCTGATGGCGTAGGTCATCCTGTCCGGCCGCAGGCACCGCAGCATGCACAGCTTCTGCAGGGCCGACTTGTTCTTCCACTCCTTGGGGAACGCCTCCTTCTCCGGCACCTCGCACTCCACGAACCTTTTCCATCGCTTTGCTGAGCCTTCGATGTCGCTGTCCAAGTTCTTGAACTCTTCCATTTCCGAGAGCACCTTCGGGTCCCGTAGAGAAGGGCTGGATCACTCCTGGGACCCCCAGGCTGGGTGGTCGTCGCACAGCCGCGCACATACGGGGACAATGCTGCAGACCCACCTTGATGCCACCCCAGCCCTGGGGCTGCAGGAAATCCACAGGGGATGTGACACCGGCCTTGGAAGGGAAGCGCAGAAGAAAGTCCAGCTCTGCCAGGTTTACTTCTTTCTTGATTGCCAGGACCTGACAAGTTGGGAGTGCAGCATCACAACCACCCTGGCACACACGGCGAGGGGCCGCGCTCCGGGCGAGAAGCTACTGAGCACCCAGGGGCAGCACAGAAGTAAGAGAACAACCCGCTGAACCACCACAAACCCACGTACGGTGTTACGCAACAGAAGCCCCAAGCATGTGCACGCCTTACCTGGAAGGCAACCTGGGCCAGGAAAATGAGTTTGTCTCTCTCGAAGAGTCCCCGCGCGGTGTACACGTAGACCGAGTAGGTGATCTCATCCGTCAGGTTGATCACCCTTTGCTTGATGTCATCATCGGGGGCCGTGCGCTGGATGGCTTTCTCAAAGACCTCGTTGAACGCCTGAGGAGGAGCGGGGGGCGGCTCAGCGCCGGGGCTGCCGGGTGCTTCACTGGCAGCATAAACGCCGAAACACCGACTCTCCGAGACCCCCCCCAGGCCTGTCCTGCCCATACGAACCAATTCCCTCCCTGCTCCACGTCTACCTTGAGAGAGAACTGGTAGATGGGGTTGATCTTGTTGAGGTCACTCAGGATGAAGTACAGCAGGGACGCTCGCTCTGCTGCTGCCCTGTAGTTTTCTCTGGCGACATTTATTTGGTTTTCGGTGACTTTGGCTTCTTTCACCTCGACGCACAAGAGGGTGGGTGTTATCCAGCATCCTGCACGTGCCGAAGCAGCACCTAACCTCCCGCTGAGTGCCAGGTGCCCAGTGTGGTCTGGCCAGAGCTCTCCCACGGCACTGTGGCACCCGCTCCTGGGCAGCTCACTTACTTTTTCCTCAATTTCCATGGCTGTGCGCTTCGGTGTTTCCAGGTTCTCCACCAGCACTGTGTCCCCCAGGAACTCGGCTGTGGCAGCAGACAGCCGGGCGAGCAGGGAGTCCTCCAGCTCCTTCAGCTTGATCTTGAACTCATTCTGGCTCTTTGTGAGGTTTGCCTACAACACCGGCGCCCCGGAGAGACCGCGGCGAAACTTGGGCATCAATCGCCGTGACTTGTCCCGAGCGCTCCCGAACGAACTGCACGCGACAGGCTGGGACCGCCAGGGGTTCTGCTGGATTTGTCTCCTACTGATGACAAATTCTCCCTTTCCCGACGCAGCCCGGGCCGCCTATGGAGCAACCTGCCAGCTGAGCTACGGGGCTCTGAGAAAGCGGCCAAGATTTTCACGCTGCCACCGACGTGCCCATGTGAGAGGAGGGAGGACGTGGCCCCTCCTGGGACGTGCCATCGCCCCTGGGGTGAAGCGGCGAGCGCGCTGGCGGCAGTGCCAG